TCAATCAAACTTCAACTTCTGAGTAAGTCTCGTTTCATTTTCAAATTTTCTGCGGCATACAATATTTTTGTATCATATCACGCAGTAACATAAGACAATTTGCATAGCTGAGAGGGTGGAGTTAACATTTCTTCTCCTTAGATACTTGTCAAATAACAAGTTGGAGCTTATTCCTGAGAAAGGGTTCCACAATCTGACCAGTTTAACCCAATTTTAAGTTGACAACTTATAAGAAAGTGTATTTATGCCTATAGAAGGAGATACGAATCTATCGAGTTCCATTACTTTAGAGTGATTTTCGATCGAAACTAACCTTGAATTATCAAGAGGTTTCAATTTTAAATCCTAAAAACATCGAGGTTGACTGAACATTGCTGTCCACTTGTTTGAGGCATAGAATATTTTTGTATCACATATCACACAGTAACATAAGAAGCAACCATCTGCATAGCTGAGAAGGCGGTGTTAAAATTTTTTGTCCTTAGATATTTGTCATGGAACATGTTGAAGCCTTATTCCTTAGAGAGCGTTCCAGAATCTGACGAGTCTAACCTACTTTTACGTAGACAACATATAACAAAGGGTATTTATGCCTATAGAAGGGAATGTGAATCTCTAGATTTCTATTAATTTCAAGTGGTTTTCGATCGAAACCAGCCTTGATTTATTAAAAGTTGTTTCAATTTTAATCCTAAAAACAGCGAGCTTGATTGTACATTGCTGTCCAATTGTATTATGCATAGAATATCATTTGTACCAAATATCACACAGTAACATAAGAGGCAACCATTTGCATAGCTGAGAGGGCGGAGTTAAATTTTTTTCTTCTTAGATCCCTGTCAAGTAACAAGTTGGAGCTTATTCCTGAGAAAGCGTTCCAGAATTTGACGAGTTTAACCCACTTGTAAGTAGCCACATATAACCAAGTGTTTTTTTATGCCTATTAAGTGGAATACGAATCTCTAGATTTCCATTGACCTAAGGTGGTCTTCGATCGAAACCAGCCTTGATTTATCAAAAGTAATTTCAAGTTTAATCCTAAAAACAGCGAACTTCTTTGTACATTGTTGTCCAATTGTATTATGCACAAAATATCATTTGTATCACATATCACACATTAACATAAGAGGCAACCACAGGTATAGCTGAGAGGGCGGAGATAAAATTTTTTCTCCTTAGATACTTGTCAAGTAACAAGTTGGAGCTTATTCCTGACAAAGCGTTCCAGAATCTGACGAGTTTAACCCACTTGTAAGTAGACCACATATAACGAAGGGTATTATTATGCCTATAAGAGGGAATGCAAATCTCTAGATTTCCATTAATTTAAGGTAATTCTCGATCGAAACCAGCCTTCATTTCTTAAAAGTGGTTTCAACTCTAAATCCAAAAAAACAGCGAGCTTGATTGTTCATTGATGTCAAATTTTCTGAGGCATAGAATGTTTTTGTATCACATATGACACAGTAAAATAAAAAAAGCAACCATTTCCATAGCTGAGAGGGCGGTGTTAAAACTTTTTTGGCCTTAGAGGCTTGTCAGGAAACATGTTGGAGCTTATTCCTGAGAAAGCGTTCCAGAATCTGACCAGTTTCACCTACTTGTATGTAGACAACATATAACAAAGGGTATGAATGTCTAGATTCCATTAATTCGAAGTGGTTTTCGATCGAAACCAGCCTTGACGAGTAGAACCCCCTTGTAAGTAGACAACATATAACAAAGGATATTTATGCTAATAGAAGGTAATATGAATCTTTCCATTTCAACTAATTTAAAGTCATTTTTGTTCGAAACCAGCCTTGATTTCTCAAAAGTGATTTTAACTTTAAATCCGAAAAACTGCGAACTTGAGTGTACATTGTTGTCTAAGTTTATGAGATAGAATACTTTGGTAGCACACATCACGCAGTAAAATAAGGAGCAATAATTTGCAAAGCTGAAAGGGCGGAGTTAAAATTTTTTTCTCCTTCGAGATTTGCCAGGGAACATCTTCAAGCTTATTCCTGAGAAAGCGTTCCAGAATCTGACCAGTTTGACCTACTTGTATATAGACAACATATAAAAAGGGTATTTATGCCTGTAGAAGGGAATACGAATCTATAGATTTCCATTAAATTAGAGTGATTTTCGATCGAAACTAGCCTTGATGTATCCTAAGTGGTTTAAATTTTAAATCCTAAAAACGGCGAGCGTCATTGTACATTGCTGTCTAATTGTATTATGCATAGAATATCATTTGTATCGCATGTCACAAACTAACATAAGAGGCAACCGTTTGCATAGCTGAGAGGGTGGAGTTAAATTTTTTCTCCTTAGATACTTGTCAAGTAACAAGTTCGAACTAATACGGATCTTTAGATTTCCATTAATTTAAAGTGATTTTTGATCGAAACCAGCCTTGATTTTTCAAAAGGGATTTTAACTTTAAATCCGAAAAACTGCGAATTTGAGTGCACATTGTTGTCTAAGTTTATGAGACAGAATCACGGTTTTGTAGCACACATCGCACAGTAAAATAAGAAGCAATCATTTGCAAAGCTGAGAGGGCGGAGTTAAAATTTTTTTCCGTTGAGATTTGCCAGAGAACAAGTTGAAGCTTATTCCTGACAAATCGTTCCAGAATCTGATGAGTTTAACCAACTTGTAAGTTATAATATGTAACAAAGGGTATTTATGCCAATAGAAGGGACTACGAATCCCCTGATTTCCATTAATTTAAAGTGATTTTCTATTAGCCTTGAATCATTGAAAGCTGTTTTAACTCTAAATCCAAAAAAAACAGCGAGCTTGATTGTTTATTGCTGTCCAATTTTGTGCGGCAAACAACACTTTTTTATCACACATTAAAATAAGAACAATTCATTGTCATAGCTGAGAGGATGGAGTTATTTTTTTCCCTTAGAGTCTTGAAAATGAACATGTTGAAACTTATTCCTGAGAAAGCGTTACAGAATCTGACAAGTTTAACCCACTTGTAAGTAGACAACATATAACAAAGGGTATTTATGCCTATAGAAGGAAATACGAATCTATAGATTTCCATTAATTTAGAATGACTTTCGATCGAAACTAGCCTTGAATCGTTATAAGCTGTTTCAACTCTTAATCCAAAATAACTGCGAAATTAATTGTTTATTGTTGTCCAATTTTGTGTGGCATAGAATACTTTTGTATCACACATCACACATTAAAATAAGAACCAATCATTTTCATAGCTGAGAGGGTGGAGTTAATTTTTATTTTCCTTAGAGGCTTGACATGGAACGTGCTAAAGCTTATTCCTGAGAAATCGTTCCAGAATGTGACGCGTTTAACCCACTTCTAAGTAGACAACATATAAGAAATGGTATTTATGCCTATAGAAGGGAATACGAATCTATAATATATAAAAAAAAGGGTATTGATGCCTCTAGAAGGGAATACCAATGTGTAGATTTCCATTAATTTAAAATGGTTTTCGATCGAAATTAGCCTTTATTTATCAAAAGTGGTTTGAATTTTAATCCTCGAAACAGCGAGCTTCTTTGTACATTGCTGTCCAATTGTATGAGGCATAGAATATTTCTGTTTCACAAATCACGCACTAAGATAAGCGGCAATCATTTGCATACCTGAGAGGGCGGAGTTAACATTTCTTCTCCTTAGACACCTGTAAACTAACAAGTTAAAGCTTATTCCTGAGAAAGCGTTCCAGAATCTGACT